AACATATTTTTCTTAAATATATGCATGCATGTGTTTGTATTTATAAATGCCTAATAAAGATACACAACACACACATGTATTACGTAAACAAAAACGTTTATTTTGGATGCGATTAATCGCGATCAATCGTCCAACAGCACTAGTTAATAATAAAATAAACACAAATGGTTCATTTCATGTTGATTTCTATTATTCAGCAGGATAAAAGCATTCTGAACATAGACAATAAATGATCATGCAACAAAAGATTCCGTCTACTGCTTTATTTATAATGTTAGACATAAGTGAGGATGAATGATTTACCTAATTTCAGACATACAGCTTCATTGGTGTCGCATTTATACTCTGCAAGTTTCTTCTCCATGTCACTCATAGCTGGAGGAAAGGCACAGAGAAACATATCTATCACAGCAGCGTAAATAAGACTTGCTATAGTGATATCTGTATCATTTGCAATGACAAAAATGTACTAAAATGCTAAATAGCAGCATCTGCATTGGACCCAAGTGTATGCACGTATATCACTGTCTAGCAATGCATACATCTTTTAACACATATGTATCTTTACTTCTGCTTGGCAGATATATACTCTTAATAATCTGAGATACACAGACAGGAACACATCTAATGCTGGTCACACTGACAGCTCACATAAGCTAGACACAGCACTATTGCACTGCATACAGCGAGTTAACGTGCAGATGAACCCGTCTGATCATCCTAATGCACAATACTTGATCTGTGGGATATTGAGTGTTAGTACATCTGACATTAAAAGCCAACCCATAACCATGTAAACAAACATGTGCAGCGCATCTGTGTGATGATTAGCATTTAGCCGCAGCTAAAGCCCTCTCTTTTCTGGCATCTGTCTGCTCCCAGACATCAGCACACAGCACCGCTCGAGCTCTAACATCACACAAACACACACGCTTCACGACAGCAGCAGTAAGAAACACAGAGCCGCTGTTATAGAGGCTTTTCACACTCACCCGCCATTTCTGCACGTCTTCTCCGCTCAACGCGCCAAATGCCGAAACTACTTCCTGTTTACCCACGTGCTTCCGCGCGTTAACGCCATTGGAGGAAATCTCCCGGCGTTGTTTTTCTCACCGAGGCAGCCTCAGCGCCGCTGTGCTCTCAACCTTACCTCAATAGCACAACACAAACAAATAGAATCCATGTGACCCTGTCTGTGAAATCCAGGCTAAAGTCTCAAAATCTAATTGAGATAACAAGCATCAAAAGTTTGATTTCAACCATTCATTTCACTATGATTTCAATCTTTGACATAATTTCGCCTTACTCAATCAGTATTAAAGATGTCAAGGTGCTTTGCCTCATGGAGGGTGATTTTTATGTACAAAAAAACAGTTAATCACAAAAAAAGACTTTAGCTGGGCCCCCTAGTTTTAAATGCAGATAATAACAACATCAGGGTTGCGTTCAGCTCCGACAAAACGGTGCAAAACGTGTTTTAAACGGAAACGGTGGTGCGTTCAACACCCTGTGCTGCTGACGCAGGAGTTGCAGCTATGGCGGCTGAGAAGGCCACTCTTTGTGCTCTTCTTGAAGAATTCTTGGAGCCTGATGGAATCAGTATAAATACGTGTTTAATACTGCAAAATACACTCGATGTTACATGCCCTTGCCCTCCAGAATAAAGGAGAACATCCCAATCAAATGAAGGGATTTGTGGAAACTGTGGTTCCTAATTATTGTGATCCAACATGTGCCTCGCATTTCAGGATGAAAAGACAAACATTTCAGGTGAAGGACAATCCACTTCTTACCTCCGAGACTGTGTTAGGATCTATACGACCTTATTATTTTGATTGTGAGTATTCGGCTTATCATTATTGCTGATCACTGATAGATATTGTAATATTTACCATTATATAATCAGAGGAGTATAGAAAAGTTTATGAAAGTGTCACTCCACAATACAATAGCAAAATATATAAATATGTATAGTATTTTTATGTTATGTTATGTTTAGCACACCTTCCTAAGGAAAGGATATGGACCAGAAGACATTGCAATTACTAAATGATATTTAGACAGACTTAAAGAAGTAATGTTAGACATAAGTGAGGATGAATGATTTACCTAATTTCAGACATACAGCTTCATTGGTGTCGCATTTATACTCTGCAAGTTTCTTCTCCATGTCACTCATAGCTGGAGGAAAGGCACAGAGAAACATATCTATCACAGCAGCGTAAATAAGACTTGCTATAGTGATATCTGTATCATTTGCAATGACAAAAATGTACTAAAATGCTAAATAGCAGCATCTGCATTGGACCCAAGTGTATGCACGTATATCACTGTCTAGCAATGCATACATCTTTTAACACATATGTATCTTTACTTCTGCTTGGCAGATATATACTCTTAATAATCTGAGATACACAGACAGGAACACATCTAATGCTGGTCACACTGACAGCTCACATAAGCTAGACACAGCACTATTGCACTGCATACAGCGAGTTAACGTGCAGATGAACCCGTCTGATCATCCTAATGCACAATACTTGATCTGTGGGATATTGAGTGTTAGTACATCTGACATTAAAAGCCAACCCATAACCATGTAAACAAACATGTGCAGCGCATCTGTGTGATGATTAGCATTTAGCCGCAGCTAAAGCCCTCTCTTTTCTGGCATCTGTCTGCTCCCAGACATCAGCACACAGCACCGCTCGAGCTCTAACATCACACAAACACACACGCTTCACGACAGCAGCAGTAAGAAACACAGAGCCGCTGTTATAGAGGCTTTTCACACTCACCCGCCATTTCTGCACGTCTTCTCCGCTCAACGCGCCAAATGCCGAAACTACTTCCTGTTTACCCACGTGCTTCCGCGCGTTAACGCCATTGGAGGAAATCTCCCGGCGTTGTTTTTCTCACCGAGGCAGCCTCAGCGCCGCTGTGCTCTCAACCTTACCTCAATAGCACAACACAAACAAATAGAATCCATGTGACCCTGTCTGTGAAATCCAGGCTAAAGTCTCAAAATCTAATTGAGATAACAAGCATCAAAAGTTTGATTTCAACCATTCATTTCACTATGATTTCAATCTTTGACATAATTTCGCCTTACTCAATCAGTATTAAAGATGTCAAGGTGCTTTGCCTCATGGAGGGTGATTTTTATGTACAAAAAAACAGTTAATCACAAAAAAAGACTTTAGCTGGGCCCCCTAGTTTTAAATGCAGATAATAACAACATCAGGGTTGCGTTCAGCTCCGACAAAACGGTGCAAAACGTGTTTTAAACGGAAACGGTGGTGCGTTCAACACCCTGTGCTGCTGACGCAGGAGTTGCAGCTATGGCGGCTGAGAAGGCCACTCTTTGTGCTCTTCTTGAAGAATTCTTGGAGCCTGATGGAATCAGTATAAATACGTGTTTAATACTGCAAAATACACTCGATGTTACATGCCCTTGCCCTCCAGAATAAAGGAGAACATCCCAATCAAATGAAGGGATTTGTGGAAACTGTGGTTCCTAATTATTGTGATCCAACATGTGCCTCGCATTTCAGGATGAAAAGACAAACATTTCAGGTGAAGGACAATCCACTTCTTACCTCCGAGACTGTGTTAGGATCTATACGACCTTATTATTTTGATTGTGAGTATTCGGCTTATCATTATTGCTGATCACTGATAGATATTGTAATATTTACCATTATATAATCAGAGGAGTATAGAAAAGTTTATGAAAGTGTCACTCCACAATACAATAGCAAAATATATAAATATGTATAGTATTTTTATGTTATGTTATGTTTAGCACACCTTCCTAAGGAAAGGATATGGACCAGAAGACATTGCAATTACTAAATGATATTTAGACAGGCTTAAAGAAGTTCCAGATCTATACTTGTGCCCTTATTATTATTTCAGTTATTTTGCCTTTAATGTAAATAAACATGTGCAAACAATATACTTACTCTTGTGAATTTATTTTGATGTTAATTACATTGTGCGAGCTGTCTCTTTAATACCGCGTGGTTTATATACATGTTGCTGCTGATTGGGCTGACATGTTTGACACAGCCACCAAACAAGAGAAAACGCATCTCAAACCCCGTTGCACACCGTTTACAGGAAACATGTCGTTCAAACCGGAAACCGTGGCTAAACGGTGCACACCGGTTTGAGCTTGAACTTGCCCCAGGTTTCAAAATGAAGAACCACGTGATCATAAATGGCGAAACTACCACCTTAAAGTGGCATGTAAATTAACAAATAAATAAAATGAAGCCTGTTTTAGGATAATTTCGATTTTTTTTGGGACTGTGAGTATTCATGACAATTAATCCATTCAAATAGTCAAATTGTTTTAAATTAGTTAAAATAATATAGGCCAATAAAATGTTTTGTATTATTTAAATATTTATTTAGTAGGCTGTATTTAAATAATATTTATTATATTTAATATTTTAAATATAAGCTTAAATTAAAGGCATTACAGAAATACTACATTTTTCAATAGCCTAAATACTTTGCCATTTAAATAATAGAACATTATTTGTTTATATAATGAGAAACAGAGAAGGGTTAACATTTTATTAAAATAAAATAAAATAAAATAAAATAAAATATTAAATTAAATTATTAAATTAAATTAAATTAAATTAAATTAAATTTAATTTAATTTAATTTAATTTAATTTAATTTAATTTAATTTAATTTAATTTAATTTAATTTAATTAAAATGCTACAAAAAAACTTAATAATAAATCTTAACAGTCCCATAACAGTCCATTCAGTACGGTGAATAAAATCCTGAACATGTTTACCACAATAAGCTATCTTGGAAATAAATTGTAGTAGCAATGTAAGATTTTATGTCAGATTCTCTTGCAGAAGTATTAATTAAATAAATGTGAGTGGTTTTTGATAATGAAATTATAAGATAATCATTGAAGAAAAGTTTCCAGAAAAGTAGCAAGTATAGCCACCATCATCAGGCATTTATGAAAACAAACAGTTCAAGCAGATCCAATAAATAACCGGGTTAGTCTCTATAATCTGACCAAATTTGTCCTAGATGATCATAAAATAGCTCTACGAGAGAGAGAGAGAGAGAGAGAGAGAGAGAGAGAGAGAGAGGGAGAGAGAGAGAGAGAGAAAGA